TTGGTTTTTTTTTTGTTTTTTTTTTTTGTTCTAATGGTAAACTTCAGACGCTGTGTGTAGCAGACAGTTCGTGAGAGAACGTGATTCAATACAAATCTTTTTTTAAAGTAAAATGTAAAATTTAAGCAACCGAAATCAATTAAACTGGTAATTTTTTACCGACCATGTGTCCCGACAGCACAGCAGCGATGCAAGACAAAAACTTGCCGTAACAAGGCTATCACATATTTTCATTGTTATCCACGTAGTTAATAGTTTGCTTACGTTAGCAAAGTCGATTCAATGCCATTTGTCTAATTGTCTTGAAGCATATGTAACCGTGGATAGCAAGGAGTGCTGGAGAGGTAGCCAAGATTTCATTTGGTTATTTATGAAACGACTGAACAATATTTCACGAACATGAAACATGTGACAAGTCAAAAACACTAAGGCTTAAAAAGAATTTACTATCATTTACAAACTACAAAGACAAAGCGTATGACTTTATTCATGTATTCCTTTCCTGAAAGAAATATCTAAGCGAAATTTGGCAAACAGCTGTTTTGAAAAACATGTTGCGTGACGACTTCACTTCCGCATGTGTAAGGGCCCGTTTACATGGAAAGAGGATGATCTTAGTGCTAGGATCATCCTAGGACTAGGATCATCCGAGCGTGGTATGTTTTCAGCTTTCAGTTTACATGTGAAGGGTTGTATTGGGCCCCAGTGCAAGGATCATCCTACCGCTAGGATAATCCTATCTGAGAGGAAGGATGATCCTGGCACTAGGATGATCCTACCTCCATGTAAATGGCCTCAGGAGGCCCAGTTTGCCCACTCACCATCTTGAAACCGCAGGTGGCCCTGGGGACGAGTTCTAAGAAACAACATGGCGGGATTTCCACACTTATCAACTGAAACCTCAAAAGGCCTACAATTTCGAATATCTCTGCCCAATATCTCTGCCCAACGAAGAAGACGACGATACTGACATGCAACGTGGAGGGCCAATGTTGTTTTCAAAATACAGGGCCCAAAGTAGAGAGTCAGTGGGAAGTAATGAATTTTGGAGTCTTCCTGCGAGCTAAAAGGCAGTTATCAATGCCAGTAAAGAGAGAACTCCTAAAACTACGCTTTTGTCATTGTCACCTGCCATCTTGCTTTGCAACCGCACTTAACACAAATCTTGTATATAAACCCAACGAAAAGTTGATCCCAGGAGCCGCATTTTTGCATGTAAACCAAATGAACCTTCTAGGATGATCCTAGCACTAGGATCATCCTCTTTCTATATAAACGGGCCCTAAAGTAATTCGATATGTTGTTTCGACTATGCATAAATTAAAACTTTGACTGGGTTGTTTAATTAAGAGAGTTAAATTTTTGGTGCTTTCTTAGATTCTCATATGAAAACTGGTATATAATTCATGGTAGGCCACCATATAGTCTCCCAGCTATCCCATAATAATGCCTATAACACCCGTGTGAGTCCATTTACCCATGTAAACCCCTGTATACCCTTGTAAACCCCCATATACCCTTGTAAACCCTTCTAATCCCTTGTAAACCCCTGTATACGCTTGTAAACCCTTCTGATACCTTGTAATCCCTTCTATACCTATGTAAACCCTTGCAATCCCTTGTAATCCTTTGTACACCCCTCTAAACCCTTGTAAACCCCTGTATACCCCTGTAAGCCCTTGTATACCACTGTAAACCCCTGTATACCCTTGTGAACCCTTGTATACCCTTGTAAACCCTTGTAATTCCTTGGGATCCTTTGTATACCTTTGTAAACCCTTGTATACCCTTGAAAACCCTTGTAATCCCTTGCAATCCCTTGTATACCTTTGTAATCCCATGTATACCCCTGTAAACCTTTGTATACCTTTGTAATCCCTTGTATACCCCTGTAAACCCTTGTATACCCTTGAAATCGCTTGTAATCCGTTGTATACCTTTGTAAACCCTTGCATACTTATGTAATCCCTTGTATACCCCTGTAAACCCTTGTATACCCTTATAAACCCTTATTAACCCTTGTAAACCTTTGTCTGGATTTCAAGTCCGGCGCCCTAACCACTCAGCCACGCTGCCTTAAATAAATTAGTTGGGTTTCATACGCAATGTTTTTGCGTTTTTTAGGCGAACAGTATACCAGGGTTTACCGGGGTTTGCATAACTATACAAGGGCATACAAGGGTTTACTGGAGAATACAAGGGCTTACAGGGGTTTTCAAGGGTGTACAAGGGTTTACCGGGGTATACAAGGGTTTACAGGGATATACAAAGGTTTACACAGGTATACAAGGGTGTACAGGGGTTTACAATAGTTTACAAGGGTTTACAGGAGTATAGAGAGGTTTACAAGGGTATGCAAGGGATACAGGGGTTTACCAAGGTATACAAGGGTATACAAGGATTTACAAGGGTTTACAAGGGTCTACATGGGTATACAGGGGTATAAAGGGGTTTACATGGTTATATAAGGGTAGACAGGGGTAGACAAGGGTTTACAATGGTATACAAGGGTATATAACGGTATACGGGGGTTTACATGATTGTATAGGGGTATACAAGGGTTTACAAGGGTATACAAGGGTATGCAAGGGTATGCAAGAGCATACAGGGGCTTACAAGGGTGTACCGGGATATACAATGGTATAAAGGGGTTTAAAAGGGTGTACAGGGGTATATAAGGGTTTACAAGGGTATACAAGGGTATACAGAGGTTTGCAAGGGTTTGTATGGGTATACAGGGGTTTACAAGGGTGTACAGGGGTATACAAGGGCCTGCAGGCCTTCATTGGTTAGCATTATTATGGGATATCTGGATGGCCATATGGCTGGGAGACTATATGGTAGCCTACCATGAATTATATACCGAAAACCGCGATAAGAAAATGGCCGCGCCATTCTCGTCCCCAGAGCCTCCGTTTCTTTTGGTCACGTGGTCGGAGAAACGACATTTTAAGACGAGTAGCACTGGGGACGAGAATGTGGCCGCGCGAACTCCTGGGGACGAGAAGCATGCGCGCGCGTTTAGTCTCGCCCCCAGGAGTTCAAGTGGCCATTTTCCCTCGTGGTTTGTCAACGGTCTTGCTTGACGGACTAAGCGAAAGAGGGACCACTGTTATCTAACTACCGCCCTTCACAGGAATCTTACATTAGGAACGCATAGAATGGTTACACAGGAATGTCCGATTCACACTTTACCCCCGTGTCTTTGGTCACGTGAACACGCGGCAAAAACCGAAGAAAACGATGCATGCTTGCAGGCGTTCCCTTCCGTCCCCTCCGATCGCTACGATCATCCCTATTGAGGCCTATGGAGTGCTGTCACGTGACGTCATCAAATTGTTAAATCCAAAACTAAAGAGCCACCGAAGTCTCCTCAGGCGTAAGGGTTGTTAAGGTCATTCCTCACATTTGCATTGCGCATCCTTACCACGCATAAGTTATGGCGTCATTAGCGCGCGCTCGTGCACGCACACATTGAAAACATGACGGATTTGCCTTGATATTGAGCTCTGTCAGTTGAAAAATGGCTCTAGCTCACCAACGGGCAGGGGCACCCAAATTTTTTTTCCACCCATTGTAATCAACTAATCATAAGCTTTGCGTGAGAAAAGACTGATCTAATTTCTATTGCTGAAAATTGAATAAATAAGAAAAATAGCAGATACACGGTNTTTGGTTCAAATTTTTAACCAAGGATTTAGCTTTCTGTCTGAATCAAACTTAAAACGTTTATTTGTGTCCGACACAGTGTATTGACTGTAGTTTAATGCGTGTTCTTCCTCACTGCTCCTTAATGAGCATGGGCACCCCCCTTTTTTATTTCAAAATTGAAGTTATCATAAGATAAATATTCAGTGTACAAAGTTTGAACAAAAATCTATTGCCACTTTTATTTCAGAGGAATTACCTTCAATTTAGATCTGCTTACAACTTTTCAGCTAACAAGTAGCCTGCGTGACAGGCGTTCAAAGTGGAAGGAAATGAGAAAACTAGAGGACCTTTTTTCCAGGACTTTTCCAGAACTCAGATTGATTTTTCGACTCTCAAAATTCACATGAACCCTTTCACTCCTAAGATCTCAATGTCAATTCTCCTTACTGTCTGCCATAGATTTCTCATACTGTTAATTCTGAGAATTTGGTGTAAAATCAAACCATATTTCTCTTTGTTCTTATCAACCGTCTGCTTGAGAATTTTAAGCTGTGAGAAATTACTAATTAGTCACTACTGGGAGTGAAAGGGTTAATTATTCTTCAGTTGTTCACAACTTTCCAGGACCAGTAACCTTCCAGGACTTTCCAGCCCTGGAAAATGCCACAATAAAATTTCAGGACCTGTACGAACACTGTTTACCCTTTAAATCACCCTGTCTGCGAGTGTACGATATGAGTTAATCTTACGACTTCATAGGCCAATTTTGCTTACATCATCTATGAGAAAAGCAAAAGTATTAAGTACCGATGTCCGTGTCAAAAGTGCAGTTGTTGCCTCAGGAATGAGCAGGGGTGGGAGACTATTACGTGTCAGTGCTGTACATAGCACTCTACACTTTCCGAGATTATCTTACTAGTTTTTTCCCATTTTTCTGGAGTTTAAACAAGGACGAAAATAATGGAGATGACACAAAAGTTTTATTTTTGGCTTTACAGTTTTTCAGTCAAACAAGCCAAATCCCATATCATCATCAGATTCCTCTTCTTCCTCTTCTTTCTTTTCTTCTTTCTTTTCCTCCTCTGCCTCTCCTCCCGCAGCTGCTGCTGGAGCACTGGCTCCTGCACCCCCTGCCATCACAGCACCACCTGTGGGAACAGATGCCAACTTGGACTTTCCTGCAGCAATCACCTAGGAAAAAAGTTCATAAAGTTTTATGATCTGCAAGGCTGCTGCCTAACGGGCACCTGGTCGCCTGAGGCGCCTAAGTTACGAGTGCGGGCGACTTAAGTTTTGTTCAAGGAGCCCGAGTGGGCACCTAAACATGGAGTTTTCATCCCATCTAATCTGTCCG